AAATGGCCCAAGCTCCATCAGGAACCTTTCCGGGTCCATCAGGCACCTGGGGCGGAACCATCTCACTGGTATAGAGGAGAGTTGTTAAAGAAGATGATGTTAAATGTTAAGTATTAATGTTATTATATTATTATTTTGTTATATTATTAATATGATGGTGATGACCTATCACAGTGATGGCTAACCTTTTTGCCATCCTGTGCCAAAAGCGGGGTGTTTGCGGGGGGATCGTGCACGCCCATAATTCTATGCGCCCCACCCATAGAGCAAGATAAAGAGCCTTTTGTCCCCTCCTCATTTTGGAAACACCTTTCTATGTTCCCTATCCTTGGTGGAACCCAGGGCCCTTTTTGACTCCAAGGAGAAAAGGCCCCCACCCCCCACTTGATCCAGGCTTCTTCTGGGTGGGCTCTAGATCCCTTCCTGGAGAGGGAGACAGTTTGCTCTCCCCGGTTTCTTTAGCTGCGTTGTGTGTATATTTGCTGACAATGTTCAAAATGCACTCTTCTCCCTCTGGAAGAGCTCCATCCCCAAGACACACACACAAAGACAAGTTTACACTTAGTGAAAAGTGAAAAGACACGCACAGGAATCAAGAGGCTTTCTCTCTCTCTCTTCTCCCACCCTCTGTACTACGCTGCTACATGTTGATCAGAACAGGCCTCCCCCACCCCTTCTGCAAAGGAGACACAGCACATTCAACTGGTATATCCTGCTTCCTTCCCAAGCCATTATTCCCTCTCCTGAGGAATCCCCTTAAACAAAACAGAGTGAGTGCTAGGATGGATTATCCCCATCCATGCTTCTCACCCAACACCCCAAATCTTTGTTGTGACACTCCTTTTCCTCCCCTCCCTGGCATTCCTGGGGAAGTGTCAAGAATTCCCTGGCCCCGGCTTACTAGTAGTGGGACAGGATTCTGCAAATCACTCACCACCACCCCATCCAGATTTATCAATCTGGGGGTGACTGTGGATTGCCCATCTTATTTCCCAGCCACTTCAGTCTCCTTCATGTCCCCTTCGGCTCACAATGGCCATGAAGAATTTGGAGGGGGGGGGGAAGCAGAGCCTGGGTGGGGAAGGTGAAGGTACCCTCTTCCTTCACTCTTTTATTCCTCTTTCACTCTCATGCATTTAGGATTTTAGGAAAGATTCCCTCCATGACCCACCTACTCCTTGGCCCCTTCAGAGTCATCTGACCACTTTCCCCAGATTACTTCCATTTCCTTCACTTGATGTTTTTGGAGCAATTTTCTCCATTCCCAAGCACCCCATAGGTGCCCAAACACTTTTCACCAAGACAGAGAAATGACAGAGATTCAAAGCTTCGTCTCCCTCTGGGTGAAAAGTAAACAGCGGAGCCAGGTGGAGGCAGAGGCAATTCTAATGCACTGCCCACTCCATCCCACCATCTCTCAGCTTGCCTGCGACTGCACCAAATAAGGACCCATGCGGGGCATTGGAATCACCTTCCTCCCCCATGCCTCTGCCTCCATGCTTGGAGTTACCAGTATTTGCACTGCACTAAGGGGCCGGCTCTTGTGCTGTCCACACCCATCCCTCTGGACTTATTTTTGGGGTAAGGCTTATATTGGGCCCACCCCCAAAAAATCAGGCTAGGATTTATTTTGGGGGTGGGTCTTATTTTTTTGGGAAAATATTATGTGTGTATGTTTCATGTATGCACATTTTTCTTCTAGCATTTTTCTTCCTTTACTTCAATCTCATTTTTTCTCAACTCCTTGAACATCTTTCACAATATCTCAGGAGCATTTAATGGTTATGGCATCAGGCTACAAACGAGGGAACTATAAATTCTGGCCCTTAGTCACAAGCTTTACCTGGAGCCAGCCACTCTCAACCCTAGAAAGAACACAATGGACAAACACTTCTGAAAACTCTTGACACAAAAATTGCAGGGACTGGTCCAGCAATGGCCAGAGTCAAGGCATTAATACAAAGGCACTGAAGTAAACCTAAACATACCTTATTACATCTTTACGCCATCTGACTTTCAAAAAGAGAGTCCCTGACTCTGGGTGGCTCACAATAATTAAACAAAGAAATTACAATAAAATCAGTACAAATTAAGAAATAAAATATGGCCAGCACAATGAACTGAGGATTCATTGTCTCTCTCAACAAAGGCCTGGTAAAGAGCCAGAGTTTTATGGCTCTTCTTAGGCAAGTACAGATTTGGAGTAACAGGGCAAGCTTGTTAAGTGCAAAAAGCTGAAAAAGTAACAAAATGCCTATAGTGTAAGATTCAATTATATAATTAACTGAACTTGCAAAAATGACAAAGTTAATTATATAATTAACTGAACTTGCAAAAATGGCAAAGCTGACCAAAAATGGCAAAGCTGACAGGAAAAAAAAAATTTTTTTTTTGAATGACTGGAAAACTTATATGGATGTTTTGTTGATAGAAAAAAATGATAATTTTTGGAATTGGGGAATAAAAGGGCCAAAGAAGATTGAGAAAAGCATGAGATTATAGTTATTCAATAAAATAAATGTGGAAGATATAACTACGGTATATGTTTTCATGTCTTTTCACTCATTTCCTTTTTTTTCCTTACTTTTCTTTTTTCCTTAATTTATCTTTATTTACTTTTGTATACATTTAATGTATTGAACATATATGTATGTGTATATGTATACCTATGTATACAATATAGATGATAGATGAATGATAGATGATAGATAGATGAATGATAGATAGATAGATAGATAGATAGATAGATAGATAGATAGTATATGAGTGTGTGTCAGAGGTGGTATTCAGCTGGTTTGAACCAGTTCAGGCAAACCAGTAGCTCCAACGATCAATTGGCCACGCCTACCCACCCCCACTCTATCCTGTCCTTTATTTCCTGCTTTGGACCTCATCTTAATTGTGTGGCACAGCTGATTTCCTCCCCTCGCTCTTCTACTTATTGTTGCTGACTTGGAAGTTAAGCAGCTGAGCTTCTAAATGCTCCATTTTCAGTGCTGCGTGCAAAGCGCACACTCACCAAACCGGTTGTTAAACCAGCAGCATCTCACCACTGAGGTGTTTGTGTGTGTAGAAATCCAAAGAGTTGGGGACTCCAGATCTTAGGGGTAGCTAATCTCATTTCAGAGGGCAGGTACTACTGCAGACAATTCTTTCAAAGAGATAGATTAGGGTGAAGACATCACAAAGTGTTATAAACATCAACATGTTGTACTCTGAAACTTTTTGAAACAATATAGAATTCAAAATTGGTAACTATTCCCCATCTCACTGTAATTATGAAATAACCATAATTAAATTTATACAGTAACTTTGGGTTCATGAACATTCCCTCAGGACAGGAGGTTAATCAAGTGTACTAATATCTCATTTTTTATTGATATGAACAATGATCTAATGTTCCCTTTCATCAGGGATGAGACAGGAAGAACTACATTGGTAGAATTACTGGTAGTTGATTCTATAGGATTCTGACTTTCAGTCACCTGAGTGATGTCACGTGAATTATCAATGTTAAAAAAATCAGTGAGGGGCAGACTATTTGGAATAAAGCAAGAAGACTCTCAGTTAAAGTCATGTTATTTTTGGCATTGATGGTAATCCTAGTAGTTGCACTTTATGGTCAGAGAAAGATTCCTCTGGCTAAGTGTCCTATTAAGGCACCTCTGCCTGTTCTCCACAAGTATTACCAGCCTGGGGATTTTATCATTGCTAGCATTACCTCTCAAGTCTACATTTTTTCAAGTCCAGTAACATTTCAGAAGCCGCCTTCTGACGAAACTCTTGATGACCTTTTGTAAGTACCTTAGGTTGAAAAATAAAATACATTTTCTATGTGGTAAGATAGCTTTCATGTTCCTTCACTTCATCTAGCTGTTTGTTCTGTAGCTCCAAATTAGGGGTGAAAAGAAGAGAAGAAGATGACAAATTTTATTCAATAGTTTGGAGCATAAATATTTTTATGTGCTTATCCTTACTGAAAATTGCAAATTGTACAAAGTATGATAGTATACCCAGAACTCCCATGTATAACTTCCTATATTTATCTTCGATGATGAATGTGAGATACAATCACCTATTGTATATAAAAAAATATTTTCTACTTTGAAAAAATGAAAACCACAAAGTAGAAAAGTTTACCTGTGTTCAAAATTTAAAGTTCCTCTCTAGAACACACACACACACACACACACACACACACACAGGGGTGACGTGATAGCAGTGTTCCAATATCTAAGGGGTTGAGAAAAGGGGTCAACCTATTCTGCAAAACACCTGAACGCAGGACAAGAAGCAATGGATGGAAACTAATCAAGGAGAGAAGCAACCTATTAATAAGAAGAAATTTCCTGACACTTAGAACAATTAATCAGAGGAACGAAATGCTTCCAGAAGTTGTGGGTACTCCAACACTAGAGGTATTTAAGACTGGACAGCGACTTGTCTGGAAGGTATAGGGTCTTCTGATTGAGGAGATTAGATTCAAAGACCTACAAGGTGCCTTCCAACTCTGTTATTCTGTTAATTTAGTTTAGAAACATCTGCAGAAAACAAAGTCAGAGATCACCAAGGATCCCTCCCTGCTATCTTTTGATTAATCTAAATTTTCCCAGGCAGGTGATCTGATATAAATTACTATTTCATTTTCTTTATTCTGTGCAGCAGTTATATTTTCTTGTCCAGATTTTTATTCCTTTCACAGGTATGTGTTTCTTATAGACAAACAATATCTGCTTCGGGCTTTTAATATATGAAAAAAAAAGTATATAGCATATTGGGGTGAATTTAATTCATTAGAAAGGATTGCTACTATTCATGTATATATTATAGATTATTATAGATTTCAAACATATTCAATACAATCAGTCTTCTATTTTCATGGGGTCAGTTACAAGAATGACCTTATCTACATAGAATTAGTAATAAGTTCTAAAGAATGTGGTAACCAGGAAACTATTGCTCATAACCTAGGACGTTCACTCAGAATTACCAGCACATCTTGTCCTTGGCATTTGCTGTGAAGGAACTCAATGAGAATCACCAAATCTTACCCAATGTCAGTTTGGGCTTCCACATCTTAAACAGCTATTTTTTGGCAAGGTGGACTTATCTAGCCTCAATGGAACTTCTATCCACTCAGGAAAAGTTCATCCCTAACTACAAATGTGATATTCAGAATAGGATTGTGGGAGTCATTGGGGGACCTACTTCTGAAGTCTGTCTCCACATGACCAACATCTTGAGCACCTACAAAATTCCGCAGGTAAAAAAAAGATGAAAGGTTCAGGTTCATTATGTTTATTTTTAAATGAGATAGAAAATGGAAACCTTATTGGTTTGCTAGGAAATCTATTTATGAAGTACTGAGAAAGTAGTTGTTCAGTCTATATTTGGGTGCTGAAAATTTTGGGGAACTGTGTTGTAATTATTATAAATGGGAATGTTTTCCAGTAATACATCTATACATCAATATAAATTCTACATTTACTGAGAATCGATGATCAGGAACTTTTGAAAAAAATCTTTGGAAAGTGTAAACGTACGTGTAAAGATTGAAATCAATACTGTTCAATAGCAAAAATCTTAATAAATCATTATATTTCATGTGGTTTAGAACAAATATACTGCATTGAAGATTTATCATAAGAAATATATAAATTACAAGAGTATATACTGTAAGGTAAAAATATGAAAAGAAAAAAGAATGAAAACTATTCTAATGATCTCTTTTTCTACTAAAAGTATGAGAAGGTTCATTTTTTTAATTGTTACTGAGCTCTTCCCATTTTTATTTTATTTATTTTTTTGGTCAAGGTCTTATATGGGTCTTCTCCAATAATAAATGACAAAACCAAAGAAGATTTTTTTCACCAAATGTTTCCAAGTGGGACCCATCAATATATGTGCATTCTAGAGTTACTACTGCATTTCAAGTGGACCTGGATTGGTGCAATTGTTTATGATGATGACAATGGAGATGTGTTCGTACAGGATATACTTCCTTTATATTCTCAGAAGGGTATCTGTGTGGACTTTTTAGAACCCATGCCCAAAACGTCTTTTTCAAGTGACATTGCTGAAACTGCAACAGAATGGTTTGCAACTTCACGTATTGTCATAGGAACTACTGCCAATACTATTATCATTCAAGGTGAAATACATACTGTGAGTGTCTTAAGAACAATTTTCCACTTTTCTCAATTTTATGATGTAACAATTGAAAACCGAGTGTGGATTATGACAGCCCAGATGGATTTTGCATCTCCTGGTTTTCTAAGAGATTGGGACATACATTTCCTTCATGGTGCTCTGTCATTTGCTGTTCATTCAAATCATCCTAGAGGATTCCAGCAATTTTTAAAGGAAAGAAAACCTGCTTTAGAAACCGGAGATGGGTTTATCCGAATCTTCTGGAAAGATGCATTTAATTGTGATTTCTCAGATTTCAGTCTACCACAGAGAAATGAGAAGATCTGCACTGGAGAAGAAAAATTGGATAGTCTACCTGTCACCCTGTTTGACACAAGGATGTCTGGCCACAGTTATAGTATCTACAATGCAGTTTACATTATGGCACATGCTTTGTATGCCATAACTTCATCCAAGTCAAAAGGGAGGACAATGATAAAAAGCAGGAGACAACAATATCTACTTGGAGAGCCCTGGCAGGTATCTTCCAAGAATGTAGAAGATTCTTTTAATTAGATAATTAAGTGTGTCACAACATAGAATATTGAGACAAATTATTAGCAATACCCGCAATAGCACTTAGACTTGCCATATTTTTCAGAGTATAAGATGCACCTTCCCCCACCTAAAAGAGGGTGAAAATTTGGATGTGCCTTATACACTGAATGTAGCCCTGCCCAGCCTCTGAAACAGAAGTTTCAGAAGCTGAAAAAAGCCTCTTAAAGGGAGGTTTCAGAGGCTGAAAAAAGCCTCTTAAAGGGAAGTTTCAGAAGCTGAAAAAAGCCTCTTAAAGGGAGGTTTCAGAGGCTGAAAAAAGCCTCTTAAAGGGAAGTTTCAGAGGCTGGAAAAAAAAGCAAGGCACAGAGCTCACAACCAATGAACCTGTTGCTAAAGTTCACCTCTGGGAACAGCGGATTGGGGGTATTCCAGGAGGCCGTCCACCCACCAATCAGCTTTTTTCTTATTTTCCTCCCCAAAAACTATGGTGAATCTTATACTTCGGTGCTTCTTATAGTCCAAAAAATACGGTATATACCACTTCACAGTGCTTTACATCCCTCTCTAAGCAATTTACAGAGTCAGCATATTGCCCTGAATAATCTGGGTCCTCGTTTTACTGATATTGAAAGGATGGAAGGGTGAGTCAACCTTGAGCTGGGGAGAATCGAACTGCCAAACTGCTGACAGCCAGAAGTCAGCAGAAGTAGACTGAAGTTCTGCATTCTAACCACTGTGCTACCATCACTCTTAAAGGATATATTACCACTTAAGTGTCAGGAAAGATATGTAAAAGAGGCCCAAAGAAAGAGCAATTATTCCCTTAACTCATAAATATTTATCAGAGATCTTGAGATGTAATGTTGGTTGCCTTCTGGGGAAAATTGCAAAAATTAAGGGAAGATACATCATGTTTAAATAATTAAAGAAGGAACAAATTTCTCTTTCTGATTTTTCCCTCTTACTTTTTACATATATAGTTTCTGAATATGTATTACATATTCAGAATGTTAAGAAGAGATGAAATGTTATATATTTCTGTACAAAAAAAGATTTTGATTTGTGTGTGTGGCCATGTTTTCATTACTGTAAAGATAGTGCAAACCTTTCCTAGGTTATATTTTTATAATACCTTTATTAAATTACCAAGTTAAACATTAAAATATAAACTAACATAAAAGGAAAAGGGAGAAGGGAATAATAATAAAAAAAGGAGCCATAATATAATTTTCTCTAAATTTTAATGTAACACAAAATAGTCAAATGTAAACAAACATATATTAAAATGCTCCATTTTCCCTCCCAGAAAAATCCAATCTAATCCTCAAATCTCAAAGTCAAAACTTGATAATATTTTTGCATTATAAATTTTCCTCTACCAAAATCTGATTTGAAAAAAGCTGATTTTTTTTCTTAAATAAAGAGAGAAAGACAGCATAATTAATGAAAGCAATTTCTCTTATATTAAAGGCATTACTCTTCCAAATTTCTTTCCCAAACTTTCAGATAGCATCCGGGCAACTGACTTGAATGTTCCTTCCTCCTTCTCCTTCTCCTGTAGGTTTTCCCCTTCAAAATTATTTGTCTTACCAATAACAGACAATATTTCTAACTCAGGTTTGAAATGAAGGATGCTCTCTTGTTTTCTTGCAGATGTTTCATTATCCAAGCTAGGTATCATCAGTGCTCATTCATCTTAGTTTTAAATTGTGTTAGGATTATTATGAATGTTCTCCATGGCCTCATTTCCTCTCTATCTTCTCTTCAATTTAGCTCCACAAGTTTATAAGAAATACTTTCTTTAGAAACAGTGCTGGAGAAAATATTTCCTTTGATGACAAAGGACATTTAATTTCTGGATTTGACATTTTTAATTGGGTAACCTATGAAAATAACACATTTGCAAAAGTCAAAGTTGGATGGGTAGACCCAAACCCATCTACCTCCAAAACTCTCACGATTCATGAGGACTCTATTGTATGGCCTACAAGATTTAACCAGGTACATATTTTGTATAGGTAACCTACATTTTTGAATAGATATTGTTTTTAAAAATTGACTTCTTCATCTATTCTGATACTTTACTTCTGTTTTGAATTTGATGTGCTATATAGTTTAGTGTAAAATTATATCACAGTATCTTGACAACATTCTGAATAATATGACACTCAGATATTTCTCAAAATGATTGACATTCTAAAGGATTCCATTTTATGGACTAGAAAACTTAAATGGATGGACACACTATTTTGCTTAGGGTTGAAGACAATTTTGAACCACATTATGAATATTGAAAGTGATGTTCTACTCTTCCAACTGTAACATCAATTACCGTATTGAGATACTGAAATCATGTTTTGAATTAAATTGCTCTAAAAAGTGGTATGTGATTCTTATTGAGAACTGGAAGAGTTGCCTAAATAAAAATTCCAGGACATAGGCTGGGTTGTGAAAAAAAAAAATCTTGGAAGACAATAGTAAACTACTTCCATGCTGTTGTTGAGAAGCTGACTTTGATAGTAAGTAGAATGAGGGCATTATTTATTTATTTTATTTTATTTATTTATTTATTATTCAAATTTCTATACCGCCCTTCTCCTTTCGGACTCAGGGCGGTGAACAGCCAAAATAAAAACATTTATACATAAAGTACGATTAAAAATAGATTTAAAATAATTAAATTTGGCCCATAGTTTAAAATTTATCAATTTAAAATCCATATCAAAATTTAAAACCAACCATAAAACAAGTCTTGATTTTAGGGTTAGTTTTGAAATTTTAATATTGATTTTAATTGACAAGTTTTAAATTATGGGCCAAATTTATAAATTATTTTAACTTTATTTTTAACTGTGATGTTTGTATAGATGTTTTTATCTTGGCTGTTCACCGCCCTGAGTCCGAAAGGAGAAGGGCGGTATAGAAATTTGAATAATAAAATCATAAAATCAAGAGAGACCGGCTAACTGAAAGAGATGAGTTTTTAGGGCCCGATGAAAAGTCCGGAGGTCGGAGATCACTCGTATCTCTGGGGGTAGATTGTTCCAAAGGGTAGGTGCCACCACAGAGAAGGCTCTCCTCCTGGGGGTCGCCAGCCGGCATTGTCTAGCCGACGGCACCCTGAGGAGGCCCTCTCTATGGGAGCGAACTGGCCAGTGGGAGGCTATTGGTGGCAGAAGGCGGTCCCGTAAGTACCCTGGCCCTAAGCCATGGAGCGCTTTAAAGGTGATCACCAACACCTTGAAGCGCACCCAGAAGTCCACCGGAAGCCAATGCAGCTTGCGCAGGAGAGGAGTCACATGGGAGTGCCCAGTCGCTCCCATAATCCCCCGCGCGGCCGCATTCTGCATTATCTTGGATAACTGACCAATATCTGAGGTAAATTGAACCTGTTTGCTTCTCAATGTTTAGTGTGTGTCATTCATCAGATCCAAGATGAATACTATAAATGCCATGAAACTTACACACCATGTAGGCAGTGATAACCATAATAGTCATCTGACAATATCTCATTCTCAAACAATAAATATAGCAAATATGTATCTATGGTTTAATAAAAGGAATGCCCCATGGCACGGCAGAGCTACCAGACTGATTCCTTTATTTTTCATCTCCTTCATTCAGAAAAGACCCCAATCCCTGTGTAATGACTATTGTCACTCTGGTTCAAGTAAGGTCAAAATAGAAGGAAAGCCATTTTGCTGCTATGACTGCTTTTCATGTCCAGAAGGGAAGGTGACAAATCAGAAAGGTAATTTTTCTTCATTACCTTTAACCATTACCTCTAACTTACTAGTTACCATTACCTCTAACTTACTAAAACCTATGTGAAATATTTTCAGAATGTATGTGTTGTATTATAGGATATTTTACAAAAACGTTTGAGATGAGTGAAATGTAGGAAAGTACTTTATCCCTTCCCTCCCCCAATTAACTTCCGCAAAAGATAAACTTTGTCATCTCAGCCTTAAGACCTCCAGGCAATTACTGTTGCTAAAACGCAAAAGGATAGAACAGATTCTGGAAACTAAAGGAAATTTAACATCAACTCTACAAGAAAAACTGTATTATTTATAGAAAATTTATATTACTTGCACATGGCGACTCAAGGTGGCTGTTGATGAAATACTGTAGACTTCTCTTAAGACTGGCATTGCATTTGTAGTTCTGCTCTAAATTTCTCACTAAAAACCTGATGTGCTATTCTATTTAATAAAAAAAACTTTTCTGGCTATGTCTAAAGATAAAGGTAAAGGTTCCCCTTGCACATATGAGCTAGTTGTTCCCGACTCTAGGGGGTGCTGCTCATCTCTGTTTCAAAGCTGAAGAGCCAGCACTGTCCAAAGCCTTCTCTATGCTTATGTGGCCAGCATAACTAAATGCCAAAAGTGCACGGAATACTGTTACCTTACCACCAAAGGTGGTCCCTATATTTCTACTTGCATTTTTTAATGTGCTTTTGAACTGCTAGGTTGGCAGAAGCTGGGACAAGTAATGGGAGGTCACCCCGTTACACAGCGCTAGGAATTTGAACCACTGAACTGCCAATCTTTCTACCGACAAGCTCAGCATTTTAACCACTGAGCCACCATGTCCCTAATGTATGAGTCTAATCACATGCATATTCTAATTTGCATAAATTTATATTAAAGGTTTGCATTGCCCCAATTTTTAGGTTAGTCAAGCTACCTGCTACACTGTAAATAAGCAATGAAATTGTGGAGTCTTCTAAACAAACTATTTAGAAAACCTGTGAGATTAATTTCTCCTAGAAACTCTCCTCATCCCCAGATATTGTTCCTGTCAGCCATTTTGAACATGGTGATGAATATTTATAATGAACCTCAAATTCAATTTGAGATGAAAAACTGGCATCTAAAAATTTGGTTTATCAAACCATTATCAAATAGTTTATCAGTGCCTCTACCGTAGATAATAGCTCTATAACTCCCACAATGGCTCTATTTGAAGCATTAACTGGGGATCATTTTGCTAAATTTTGAGCCATGATGATGTAGTTGTTAGAATTCAGTATTGCAAGTGAACTCTGCCCACAGCCAGGAGTTTGATTCTGACTGGCTGAAACTTCATCATTCTGAACTCTTCCATCATTTTGAATTCAATAACAAGAGAACCCAAATTGTTTGGGCAATATACTGACTCTGTTACTTTAATGCCGTAAAGTACTATGGGGTGATATATAAGTCTAAATACTATTGCTTTTGCTTCTGCTAAATTTCCTTTGTTTTCATAGACATGGATGATTGTTTGCCATGCCCAGAAGGACAGTATCCAAATAACAACCACGATTCATGCCTTCCAAAACAGATAGTTTTCCTGTCTTATGAAGACCTATTAGGGACTACTTTGGCCACTACTTCACTCATCTTTGCTTGCATTGCCACGGTGGTTCTTGGGATCTTCATCAAATACCAGGACACTCCCATAGTCAAGGCCAACAATCGGAACATCACCTACCTTCTCCTTGTCTCCCTTGTGCTCTCATTCCTTTGTAGTTTATTATTCATCGGACAACCTGAAAAGCTGACCTGCCTTTTACGACAAACTGCTTTTGGGATCATCTTCTCAGTAGCCATTTCTTGTGTATTGGCCAAAACCATCATTGTGATTTTAGCTTTCATGGCTTCAGTGCCAGGATCCAAGATGAGGCGATGGCTGGGCAAACATTTAGATAATTACATAGTTGTTTCCTGCTCCCTCATTCAAGTTGTTGTTTGTACCATATGGCTTGCAATCTCACCCCCATATCCAGATACTGATATAAACTTAGTGGCAGATGAAATCATCTTGGGATGTAATGAAGGCTCTACTGTCATGTTTTACTGTGTCTTGCTATACCTGCTTTTCCTTGCCATTGTTGGTTTCAATGTGGCTTTTCAAGGTCGGCATTTACCAGACAGTTTTAATGAGACCAAGTTCATCTTCTTCAGCCTGTTGTGCTTTTGCAGTGTCTGGTTGTCCTTTTTTCCAACCTATCTGAGCACCAAGGGGAAGTACATGGTAGCTGTGGAGATCTTTTCCATATTGTCATCTAGTGCAGGACTACTAGGCTGCATATTTTTTCCCAAATGCTTTGTCATTCTACTAAGGCCTGATTTGAATACTAAAAAACAATTAATGAGAGGCAAGAAAGAAGAAATATAATTCCATGACTGGTTCAGTGAAAGAAACATTCATTGAAGACCACTCTGGAATTAGAACTGATCCAGAATGAAGCTGTTGCAAGTCATAGGAATCCTCTTATTATTTCTGAGTGCATACATTTTTCCTACCTTGGAAAAAAAACCCAAAATTGGTGAAATCAATTATGACCCCAGATATTCCCACCCTTATTTTAATAAATGGAATATAAACAATGAAACACCTACTCCCCTGACATAATATTTTCAATTTCTTTTCTTTGTTTTTTTATGAAATTTTATGGAGAAAATGTGAATACACTGGACTGTAGGAGTTTTAAGAAAAAAATGACTTCAATATTCAAATTACATTGTCATAATTATGGTCATCCCATTAGTTTTTTGTTCTGTTTTTACCCAAAACATCACTAATCATATCCCTGACTCAGGGGTCTGCAACCTTTTCCCGTTTCCCACAGAAAAGAAAACACTGGGAGCCACAAAACCCTTCCCATGGCTGACTGTTTCTTGATCAGCCACAAAACTATCATATGTAGTTGAATTAAATGTTCTGTTTTCTTCTGAAACTTTTCTTTTCTTGGATTTATCGATGGTTGGCCATCGGGGGTTGAAAAGCTCAATAAATCGCGTGCCAATGGGTTGTGGGTCATACATTAGCGGTTGTGACATGTATTTTGAGTGACAGGGAGCCACAGCAGAGGGGTGAAAGAGCCACATGTGGCTCCAGACCTCAGGTTGCTGACCCCTGCCCTAACTCTTACTATCAGGTATTAAAGAAATATAACTTATTGCAAACCAAAGAACAGCCAATTATTATGACTAAAGATAATCCATATCTTACAAAAGTCTCTCATTATTAAAAAGGTATTAAAAATTAGGCAAATTTCAATTTGTTTTACAATGCCTACAATAGAAGATTCAACTATAAAATAACTGAGCTTGTAGAAGTGGAAAAGATGGTCAGTTTGGTTAGAGAAAAAACAAAACAAAAATATTTGAAAGCCTGGAAAGATACAGAAGTTTTGTTGAAAGAAGAAAAGATCAAATTTAAGATTTCTGGGATTGGGAAATAAATAACAAAACAATGGAGTTGAAGATATCTTGGAGATCTTCTAGTCCCATGATGGTGAACCTATGGGACGTGAGCCACAGGTAGCACCCATAGCCATATCAGTGGGCATGCCAGCTCAGCTCTGGTGCGCATATGCGCGCCAGCCAGCTGATTTTGGACCTTCTGGGCCCACCAGAAGTACGGAAACAGGCTGTTTCCTGCTTCCGGAGTGCCTGGCGGGGGGTGGGGAAGGCCCGTTTTTCTTTCTCACCTGGCTCCAGATCCTCTCTATGCATCTGGGGAGGGCAAAAACAGCCTTCCTCACCACCTCGGAGGCCCTCCGGAGGCCTGAAACGGCCCATTTCCAAACTCCTGGTTGGACAGGAACTGATGTTTTTTGCTGTCCCCAGCCTCCAGAGACTCCTAGAGAGGCTCTGGAGGCTGGGGACAGCAAAAAAGTCACTTCCTATCCAACCGGGAGTTGGGAAATGGGCCGTTTCAGCCTCTGGAGGGCCTGCGAGGGGGTGGAGAAGGCTGTTTTCACCCTCCCCAGAGACATAGACAGGATCTGGAGACAGCTGAGAAAGAAAAACGGGCCTACCGGGCCATCACGTGCCAGGAGCGATGGGGTGGGTGGGGTGGGGTGGGTGGGGGGGTGGGAGAAGGGGGGTTGTGCATGCATGCGCACAATGGAGTGCATAGAATTATGGGTGTGGACACGTGCATACGTGAACCTCCCTGCCCCTCCCCCTCCTGGCATGCAATGGCAAAAATGGTTAGCCATCACTGTTCTAGTCCAACCCCTTGGTTAAGCAGGAGATCCTATACCATTCCAAACAAAAGGTTGCCCAGTCTCTTCTTAAAAATCTCCCATGATCAAGCTTCTGAAGGCAAGCCATTCCATTGGTTAATTGTTCTCACTATTAGGAAATTTCTACTTAGTTCTAGACTGGTTCATCCCTTGATTATTTTCCACTCATTATTTATTGTCCTGTCTTCAGGTGTTTTGGTGAATAGGTTGACCCCTTCTTCTGTTCTTCTATTACCCAATAGAAAGAAGTGCAGAAGACATACTTATGTTTTCTTCTCTTTTCATTCATTTTCTTTTTCTTACTTTCTACCTTTGTTTATTTTATTTTTTATACTGTATTGAATATACACTGTTCCTGGATGGGTGCACAAACACACACACACACAGTCACACACACACACATATGAAAGAGACAGATACATACATACAAAAAATCTACAGAGTTGGGGACATCCAAAACTGGGCAGTTAAGCCCAGAGGGGAGGCACTGCTACACAGAAATCTTTCAAAGAAATTGATTGGGAAGATGCCAGCTCAGGTGCCATAAACTTCAACATGTTGAGCACTGAACATTTTTGAGAGAACATAGAATTTAAAATTGGTAAATATTCCTCCATCACACTGTAATGATGAAATAACCACAATTAATGCTGCACGGTGACTTCCTGGTTCATGAACATTCCCTCAGGATAGGAGGATAAGTGAACAGTTAAGTATACTAACATCACATGTTATATTGATATGAACAATGGTGTGATATTCTTTTTCATGAGGGAAAAGAGAGGTAGAACTACGCTGCTAGGATTATTGGTAGTTGATTCTACATGGTTCTGGCTTTCAATCAGCCTAGTCTTGCCGTGTCATGTTAAAAAATCAATGAGGGGTCAGACTATTTGGATTCTCAATCATGTTATATTTGGCATTGATGATAGTCCTAGCAGTTGTACTTTATGGCCAGAGAAAGATTCCTTTAGCTAAATGTCCTATTAAAGCACCTCTGCCTATTGTCCACAAATATTACCAGCCTGGGGATTTTATCATTGCTAGCATTACCTCTCAAGTCTACATTTTTTCAAGTCCAGTAACTTTCCAGAAGCCGCCTTCTGATGAAACCTTTGATGATCTTTTGTAAGTATTGTAGGCTGGGGGAAAAAATCTTCTATGGGTCTAGACAGTTTTTGTGCTACTTATATCATGTAAAGATTTTCTCTAAAGCTCACATTTTGGAATGAGAAGAAAAGAAAGGGACGGGAAATTTTATTTAACACTTTGTGATTAAAAAAAGTTCCATGTGCCTATTTTTATTGAATATTGCAAATTGCAAAAGATATGATAATATCCAGCATTCAGATGTTTCCTATAATTAGCTACTAATATGAATGTGAGACATAATCATCTCACCTATAGGTTATTTGATAATATACAGTAGATATAGCTTATATTCTGGAAGACTGAGAAAAAGGAAGGTACTAAAATGTATCCCTAGTGAAAAAAATGTTCCTCTGAAGGAAAATTGTTATCTACTGTATCTATATTCTATCTGTCATCTAACTATCTAGTTATCTATCTAGTTATCTATCTATCATCTATCTAAACAAATATATACAGCATATATAAAAGTGAAAAAGAGTTGGGCAAAGCAAGTTTAATGAACTTAATAGAAAAAAGTTAAAAATAGAAAAGAAAGCAAATAAAGATAAGACAAAACAATACATTACATTTCTGATTACCCTTTTTTTAAACATCTGCTAATTTGCCCTATAACCTCTCTGCTCTTTTTAGATTAATCCAAATTGTTCCACATAGGTGATCGGATATAAATTCATATTTCATGGTTTTCCTCTGGAGAGCCGTTATTTATTCTTGTTCCAATTTCTATTTCTTTAACAGAAACTTGTTCAGCGTTTTTTTACATATGTTTCTTGGAGGCACACACTAGCTTCATTTTATTGGTTTTTATTTATGGAACACTTTCCTACATTTTTATGGTGAATTTGTTTCATTGGTCTGGATTTATATTGTAAATGTACATACATATGAAAAAAATAATACTTATTCCATACAATAAGTCTCCTATTTTCAAGGGGCCAATTACAAAATGACCGTGTCAGGATAGAATTAGTACTAAGATATAAAGAATGTGGTAACCTGGAACCTATTGCTCATAACCTAGGATGTTCACTCAGAATTACCAGCACGTCCTGGCTTTGATTTTTGCTGTGAAGGAACTCAATGAAAATACCCAACTTTTACCCAATGTCAGTTTTGGCTTCCACATCTTAAACAGCTACTTTCTGGCAAAGTGGACATATCTAGCCTCAATGGAACTTCTATCCACTCAGGACAAATTCACCCCAAACTACAAATGTGATATTTGGAATAAGATTGTGGGAGTCATTGGGGGACCTACTTCTGAAGTCTGTCTCCACATGACAAATATCTTGAGCACCTATAAGATTCCACAGGTAAAAAACAAAAACCAGGTTTGCTATGTTTAAGATACTTTCATAAATGAGAGATGGAAAATCATAATCTTAATAATTTGCTAGATGGTGTATTTATGAAGCATTGTAAAAGTAGTTGATCAATATATAATTAGGTGTAGAAAAAACTGGCACAATTTGTTGTATTTTTTAGATTAGGTTAGAATTTTTTATTGGCCAAGTGTGATTGGACACACAAGGAATTTGTCTTTGGTGCATATGCTTTCAGTGTACATAAAAAGAAAAGATACATTTGTTAAGAATCATAAGGTACAACACTTAATGATAGTTATAAGGTACAAATAAGCAGTCAAATCATACTAGGAAATAATCAAGGATTTCCTGCTTTCTAGCGAATATAAATCGTGCAGCACAGCTGATCGTCAGAAATACTGGTTCAACCATACCGGTAGCATTTATAACTACCGGTTCAGGCCAACCGGTCGGAAGCATTCCACCCCTGCTTATTAAGCAAGGACTACATATGTTTTTCAGTAATACATCTATATGTCACTATACATTCTATATTAAAACCTGTTTTAATATAGAAACCCTGTTTTAAGGACTTTGAAAAAAAAGCTGTGGAAAATCTTGTATGTGAAAAGATTGCAATTGATGCTGTCTAATAGCAAAATGTTTTAAGAACACATATTTCCTGAAATACCTATGAATATAAATATATTAATTAAGATTTGTCATAAGAAATATTTAAATGATCAGAAAAATCAATAAGAAAAAAATGAATGAAACTAGTTTTCATGGTCTTTTGAATAAAAGTATCAGAAGATTCATTTCCATTGTCTTTGCCTTCTTTCTATGGCTTTTCCCCCCTCAAGATCTTATATGGGTCTTTTCCAATAATAAATGACAAAAC